TGGACTTTAGGTAACCAGTATAAGAAGACTGTACATACAAACAGCTGAAATATACTTATTTTGTGTAAGTTTTTAAGATTTTCCTAAATCAGCTCATCAGCTGAGACCAAGATGTGCCCTAAGCATTGCTCCTGTGCCTTGAGAGGATTATTTTGGCCCTATCAACTGATAAAGATGCCTCTTTAAGACGTTAATCGAGGATTGCTTTGGGGACGGTTGGATGCCTGGGTGTCTCGGCTCCTGCTTATTAAGTGCTTTTGAATGTATGAGGACTGAAGACACAATACTGCATAACTGAAACCCCATGAACCATTTTAGGAAAGCCTAACCACTAATCTGTATTAAAAGGTATTTTCTAACTTGTTCTCATTGTTCACACCTGGACGATCCATTTACAAATGAACAAAAATAAAGTAATACTTGGACGTTTCACTGAAAGTCCCCCCTGAGAAAGCATCTGGAAACAGTCTGAAACACTTTTGACCATCTTCTGTCAGCTTCAAGCACAACCAAACGACCGTTGTTGCAGTTTTATGGCTCTTATCTAATCTGTCGGACAGCTCAAAGCACTTTTACCTCACAAGACGTATTCACGGGTGTTTGCTCAAGGTGTGATGGGGGAAAACGGGATGAATCGCTAACCGTCCGATTAGCAGACAACCGTTCTCCCTCCTAAACCAGAGCCACCAAAATTGACATACAGTACCTTAAACATGACACATCACATCAAACATCACCAGCTGCTGTGCATAAGTAAATAAACACGAAGATGCTTTGAATGACATGGCTGCACTTTTGTGAACAGCACCAACAATTAACCATGATTTTGTGCAGAAAAACTAAATTTTTGCCACTTTCTCTGCATTCTGTTGGAGCTGTTTTCTCCAGTGGTGTAGTCTACATTTTTGTAGTGGGTATAATGTGCTTAGAAACCAAAGTACACTGGTTAGTACAATGTAACCGTCAATTTATGTTGATTTTTAAGCATATTGAACATTTCCAAATTTCGCTGTTGATTATATTTGAATAAATGAACAACAGACTTTGTACAACAGTTGGTTTTGTATTAAAAACATGTCAAAGAATTTATAAAACAGTATCAAAGCAAAATAAGTTCAAGTATTAAGTAGTAAGTACAGAATTATACAATAATTTGCTGGATAAGCGAATGTAATAAACAAGCGCTGTATACAAATAGATTGTTACGGAAGCATTTAACTGCTGTTTAACGCATCAATGACACGTGTCTAATATGTCATGCATCATTGGGCACTTTTAAATGGTTATACTGAAAATCTTAAGCTTTTCTAGTGGGTATACTCCGTATGCCCGTGTATCGCGCAGACTACACCACTGGTTTTCTATACCAGCTGGAGAATCCTGATATCGAAATCGGATTTGAGGTTTTCTCTTTCAAATGACGTCAAGAAATCCTCATTCGGATATGCTAAAAATAAGATTCAGACCAATTTTTCAGGGTTATTCCTGATTTGCAAGACAAATCAAAGTGTATCTGGAGCCGTTCGTGATATCAGGATGATCTAAGTCGGTTGGTACCCAACCCTGGTCCTTGAGGAACACCATCCTGCATGTTTTAGTTGTTTCCCTGCTCCATAGCACCTACCAGGTAATTCAGTGATTTAATTACTACTTCATGTTCTGCAGAAGCGTGTTAATCACCCATTTATTAAAATCAGGTGTGTCGGAGCAGAGAAACAACTAAAACATGCAGGATGGTGTTCCTCAAGGACCACGGTTGGGAACCCCTGACTTAGAAAACTGGAATCTGAAAACATGTTCTGTTTAGTTTGTCCAAATATGACTTAATCTGTTTTGATGTGATGGGTCACAAACATACATACATACATTTTTGCAAAAAACAACTTCCAGAAACTCCTAAAGTAAAAGCACCGTCCAGCTCACAGAGCATGTTCTCATAAAGTATTCTGCTTCCGTTGTGCTAAATTGTGCGGAGGCAGCACACGGCCAAAGGTTTGATGTAAGGAATAATTGATTCCAAACGGAAAAATGCAGCTTCAGTTCTCTGTCAGCATGAAGGGAATGTAAGAGGCTGGAAACTGAATTGCTGCTTGAAACAAACTTCCTGCAGCTGTTCTGCAAAATGCAACTCCACTAAAGTCAAACGCTATGATGATTAAAAATAAATAAATAAAACGTTCACTTAATCCTTGAAAGCATTAAGTGATGCTAAGCAGTTCAAACTATTAGATTGTTGATTTCTGAGCGAGCAGAGGGAGGGGGTCTGAGAAATGAAGTGTTTTCAGCAGGGAATATAAAAAATGTGCTTGTTTTTCTTTACTGGGTGTGACTTTTCATTTCACACTCTGTTGGACGGAGGAAATAACCTCCAGGCTCGGAAAACAAATCCCTGTGTGTGTCTATATTTAAACTCGCAGGGTTCTGTAGAGTTCTGACCGTTAATTCTGAACCCAAAGAGGGAGTACCGACACTGTCAGTTAATAATTCATGAATGCTGCAGTGTGAACGCCCGTACAAAGCAGCAGTGTGTGCTTTATGAGCAGTTGTCCTACCTGTTGGGTCGGTGTGCGTTTCCCACGATCAGAGCGTGTTTTTAAAAATATCTTTTTAAATTTTACTCCCGGCTTGTTGGCAGAAAACATAATTTCCTCCCTCAGATCTCCTCCAGGCTCGTTCCTCTGCTGTAAACGAAGAATCTGGGCCTTTCCCTCACAGTTTTCACAGATTAGTTGTCTTTAAAACTGGTCAAATCTGACTTTATTGCATTAAAGTTTAGTAAACGTTAAAAAAATGGGTCATGCTTTTAATTCAAACTAATAAAATTAGTGTGTAGAACTGTAGTTATTGTCCACGCATGACACAAAACCACCTGTAGACTTTGTGCAAAGACAATGATGGTCTAGTTTTTACATGAGAAACTATGAAATGGTAAAACTCAAGGAGCAAAATTTAAATTTAACAACAATAAAGGATTAAGTTAATTACTTTTCGATTTATTTTTCAAAAATATCCAACAGTTGAACTATAGTTGAGTAAAATGTCTGGATTTTTTAAATTTTTTTGCAACATACCTTCTTCTCTATTAATTGCATAAAGTTATTTTATTTTATTCCCTTATTACTTTGAGGTTTGACTGACATAATCTCTAACTACACAGTATAAATTAGAATTAGCTTTGTCATTTCACCGAAGCACAATGAAATTACATTCCAGTACAGCCCGTCCGAGAAAACATAAACAAACAGACATGGGGAGACGGAGGTGTCTGAGGCCGCGGCCTTCTGGAGGCGCTGCCCTTTTCATTTAGATAAGAAAAAGAGAAACACGAGGGGAGGTATAAAAAAATCATATCTCATACTGTGTCTTGTACAGTGAAAGTTGCAAAACAAAACCTCAGCACAGAAACAGCAACATACTGATGATGTCCTAATACATTTATGCATGACGAGACCAACGAAGGCGGTGAGTTGTCCATGGACACTGCCAGATAGTTCCATAGTCCTGATAAGACATGGTGCTGTATCAGCCGACTCAGCTCTGATACAGGTCCACAGATGTCCTCGGGAAGGGAGTGGGGGGGTTGCAAAGCTTCTTGTTCACATACCGTTTTGAGATAGTTGGCCAAACAAATAACCAATTTACTATAAATTAAGCATGTCAACATGACTCGAACAGGCTAACAGTTAGCGTGTTTCATTTAAACTAAGGCAATTGTCTCAAACATTGAGATTTAGAATATAAACATGAAAAAAAACAACTGATTTTCTCATTTAACTGGTTAAATGCTGATTACTGGTATTTTCTTTTCATCTTAACTTCAAAGTAAGCTTCAACATATGTCCAAACGAACAAGCTAACAAGCTAATATTAGCATTTAAATTAAGATAACAGCTTATTGCTTTCAACACTGACATTTAGCACATAAACGTGGAATTTAAAAACCAAGATTTTACTATTTCACGTGATATATGTTGATTACTGGCATTTTCTTTCCATTCTAAGCTTATAAGATGGAAATGTATCTCCAAACACATAAGCTAATGTTAGCGTTTATGCTAACCCTGACCAGATTATATTCATGTTAACAGCAAACGTTAACATGTAAAATTGTTGTTAGTGTACAAAACTCCTGGTAACGTCTTGGCAGTGGTAAAATTTGGAATATTCGCACATATAAGGTTTTAAGTATCATATTTGGCTCAAGCTAACATTTAGCATTTAGTGCTATCTTCAAATTTCAACTACAGATGGACTTGAGGTGATTTTATCAATTCTATTTAGTTACAGTTTAAATAAAAGGATGGTTATTGGGAAATGTTTAACAGTACCATGAATTTGTTTTGCACTTTGTGCAGCTGTATAACTTGATTGTGTGTACTATGAGGGCCGCAAATGAAAAAACAAGACACATTTTTCCCTGCTGTGGTTTGCAGTTCAAATTTGTCAAATTTTCACTTTATTTTTGTTTGTTTCATGAGATGGCAAAACAAATATATTCTGTATAAACCTTGGAGGGCTCAGTGATAGTAAAACTATTATGTGGGAATAGTTTGTGACTTTATGGTTTAAATGTTTTTGTGCATCTCAATCAGGAAGCAAATAAAATTCTTGCAGAAAAGTAAAAACACAACATCTTGGTGGCCTAAATGTCTAACGCTCGATGAGATCATTTCCCTTTGACAGCACTCAGTCGTGAGAAATCAAACGAGAACATTGAAGTGACATCACTCGTCTTTATTTTAGTGCAGTGCATAATCTCATACCTCTGTGCTGTAATGGAATATTCCAGATTCAACTACAGCGGTTCTGATAGTGTCAGCTGATTCCAGCAGCACCTATTGTAGTCCTTGCTTGCGTCTTTTATAGTCATGGGAATGACCAGACGTCCAACTGCTGACAGACCTACACGCAAACAAAGCAATGGAAACAAAAGCGCCTCTCTAAAACACAAACCCCTATTGTATTATCCTGCATCCTGTGTGAATTTGAACCCCCCCACAAAACAAACACGAGTCAGTTTACCTTAAAATAATAAGTTTACTTCAATAAACATGGTAGTTAACTTGGCAACAACACACACAAACCTTCACATTTTACAAGATACAATAGCTTTATGGGTACAAAAAGAGGGATATACAGTTGGAGAGGGAACAGGGAGGATCAGCCAGTCCATGAAGAAAACACAAGGTCAGCAAAGAGCTTCGTGCAACCAGGAGGTCAGAAGATCTTAGTCCAGCACTGATCCCAGTTTAGGGGGAAGACCTTCAGCCTGCCTCCACTGAGCGTTACGCTGCTTGAACCATTGCTGCAGGAGAAAAACAAAAATGAAGCCATCAGAAACATGTGATAAGTTATGAGCCTGAAACACAAAGAGTGGTGACGTAAACGGCCTCTTGTCACAAAAAAGTACAGCGATGACATAAATATCCCTGAGAAACTAGAAGCGGTGTTGCCAAAACTTCACCAAAGGCTCCTTAAAATACAGTTTATCCACAGGCCTCGTGTTGCATTTAAACCCAAACAATAAGTTGGTGACTTGAAAGCAACACTACAGCAAATCCCTAATGGGAAACCTAATCAGACCTCTTGTGTGTCTTATTGTGACAAGTTTTTAAAAATGACACATGAGCTATGTACAGTACGTACAGAAACATGAAGCTGTTATTTGGAAAAACTGCAATATCTCTTTGAATACACAAAGTAAGAACATATATTTACCCAGTACTCTCCTCACATAGTTAGCTTTGCCTACTAGGATACACTGTTCTTCACCCTTGATTTACTTTAATCTGATCTTAATCTGGCTATAATCAACAGATTATACATATTGCTATTTACTCTCACAAATGCTCACTGGATGAGTTCACCACTTGCTCACATTAATATTGTAGCATTTTGTGCTAAAACTAAAATGAACATTTTAACCTTCAAAATTACAATTTCCCATTTGAATACTAATGTTTAAATTTTACTATTTTACATTTGTTTTAAAAATGATCATTTACTATTCATTCCTGCTTTAATATATGTTAACATCTACCCAATCATTTAGCGTTTAAGCATGCTAACATTAGCTTGCTAGCCTTTATGTTATTGACAATTACCATTTACTATTTATCTTAAATTTAAGAAATGTTAACATCTTGCCAAACATTTCTTTTAGCATGATAATGTTGGCTTTTATTTTATTGACAAATAGTTATTATAGTTATATTTTAGTATTTTATTGCCATTCATATATCTTTAGCCTGCTAACATTAGCTTGTTAGCCCTTGTGTTATTGACAAATATTATTTATTCTGAATTTAAGAGATGTTAACAGCTTGCCACATGTATCTTTTAGCATGCTAATGTTTGCATGTTAGCTTTATTTTTATTGAAAAATAGTTATTATATAGTAGTCCCTCGTTTATCACGGGGGATCTGTACCCTGAAGCCCCAAGATAAGTGAAAAACCACAAAGTAGGAATAGTAGTTTATTTTATTATTTATATAGATATATATTAAGGCGTTTTACACCCTTCCCATACTCTTGCAATATTCTAAACAATGTTTCTAAACTCT